CGATGTTTAAGTTTAAAATTCTTTTAACATGTAATAAGATAAATATTTTGTTAAATGTTGCAAAGTTTATAAAGGAAGCTCTATTTCTCAGGAATTCCCATCTGTCATTATAATGATTATTTTGTATTATGTTGTACATGGGCCGTTGGCCTTTATACCGAATAAATAATTGAAATGAACTAGACTTTTCACACATTGTGCCCATGTGGGGAATCGAACCCGTGTCTTCAGCGTGCCACTTTAACCACTAGATTACCCCACCGCACTTCAGCGTGACGGGCGAACGCTTTAACCACTAGGCTACCCCACCGCCCTATATAGCAGCTGCCTGGTGCTAGGAATTAACAGTGAGTCATTTTTTGCACTCAGCAATATTCCAGCTATATGGCGGCGGTCTTTAAATAATCGAGTCTGGACCAGACAATCCAGTGATCAACAGCATGAGCATCGATCTACGCAATTGGGAAGCGATGACAAGCGTCTGCCAAGTCAGCGAGTCTGACCACCCGATCCCGTTAGTCGCCTCTTACGATAACCATGCGTTACTGAAGATCTAGGCCTTAACAGATGTCCAGTTATGAATGTACGTCCAAGAGGAGAGAGTTATCTACAGGTCAAGCAGGGGATGATTTTGCGATTTCTTGTACTTTTGGTATGTGGGTAACGTAACCCTAGAAATAGTCTTGGGATCGTAGTGAACATAAATGACTGTGGTCGGTGCTCTATTGTCACGATGAGAAAGACCATCTAGTGCCTATTCAGAGAATTCTGCGTGCCAGCTTGACATTTGAGTGAATGAGTATAGATTTACGCCGTTTTTAAGAAATATTCCAGCAATATCACGACTGGGGACACCAGAAATGTCTTCACACATTGTACCCATGTAGGGAATTGAACCCGGGTCTTCGGCGTGACGAGCCAACGCTTTAACCACTAGGCTACCCCGCCGCCCCGTTTGACATTTAAGCACAGACACTTCTTTCTGAGTTAGATATATACAATCCACACGTTCACACTTTGATTAGACCTGTAAAGATCCGGGTTAAAATAGGTCTTCCTCACATTATGCTTGTCGAAGAGCTACTAACGGGATCGGTGCATAGGTGACCAACTCGTGTTAATCCGGGACAAGCCGTATAGAGTCTTCTTGGAGGTTACGGGAAGTCCCGAATGTCAAACGGGCGGTGAGCAGCTTTTGGGATGACATAATTGAATGTGATGAATTAGTACGGCATTCTGTTTGTCGGTGTCATTATATTACTTTTGTTTGTTTGTTTGTTGTTTATGCAATAAAGTCAGCAATATACAAGCTATATGGTGATGTAAACAATCGAGACTGAATTGATGCATCATAAAAAAATGTTCGAAGCGCCCGTGAAATATTTATGTAGAAACAGCACACAGAAAGATAATCAAAAGACAAAGACTTCAAGTTTTGTTTAAGTTTGATTGTTGTTTAACGCAGCTTAAGTAATATTCCAGCTATATGAGGGCGACCTGTGCCCAACAATCCAGTGATTGACATAATCAGCATCGATATATGTAATTCTGATATGATGACATACATCAACCAAGCCAGCGAGCCTGACCACCCGATCCCGTTAGTCGCCTCTTCCAACAAGCATGGGTTACTGAAGATCAATTCTAACCCTATGACATGCATCCTTTACGATATCAAGAAAAGGCAATACATGTAACGCGTTCAATATGAAACATAAACATTCTAAAATACCCTCAGCAAATATGTATGTTTAAATATACGTCGAAAACACTCATCAACACTAGAAATACTATGAATACACAATGTCATTTAGAAAGTGGTCAAATGTAACATATGCTATATTTGGGAATACAGTCTCTCAGTAAAGTACAGATTCTTGTATTTTTGTTGGGTTGAGTCCCATCCGGGATTCGAACCCACACCCTCAGAGACAGTGTAATTCCAAATACATGTTACACTAGAAATACTGACATAAAGAAACATATTCTAAATTCGTTCTGTGGTCTATGGCGTCGACAAAATATTTACATAAGTCCGGTGTACCACCGTTGGTGGTTTATAAGATAAAAACTATACTAAATTTTTCCTTCGGCGGAGTATTCGTGATACAAGTTAGATTCGACACCGTTGGCAGACCAGTCTAAGATTTCATGATATCCTGTATCTAATTTTGTATGTAAACTGTTGCACAACAATGATTGTTACATTGGTTACTGTACTGTTTCGAGCAAAATAATAACATGGTATACTTGAATTACTTTCAAACATGTAGATAGTATATATACGTGACTTCCAAAACATAATGATCATAGGTCTTACATACAAATGACATAATTACAGTTGTATTTTCATTGGCGATTAAATGTCTAAGTTCTAAGACGGCAATGGGCGAGACACACGAGGACAAAAATACAAAAAACGCAATACTGCGATGTTACTTGTCATATTTTGACAAAATATTTACAGGTAGATTTCAACTATTATATAGAGTTTTGTTTGGTGTTTACAGCTTTTGTAGAAATAGTAAATGGTTTTCTGCAATAAAATGTAGTCGTAAATCAAATAACTACATAAACAGGACGGATATTGTATTTACAGGCCGATAACAGTTCAGTAGAGTGAATTTAGAGGTTATTTACACGGTTCTCCCTTAAAGAGGAGCTAGTGCTATACTTACTAATCACAATGTTGTTAAAACGCATGTTTTTATTATTTGATCATCATTATTTTTTACGGGCTAAAATAATTTTAAAAAGAGTTTTTGGAATGTTCATTCTTTCTTCCACATGTATCGAACAGAATCGTATGATCCCCACGTAGTTGAGATTGATAATACGATGTGCCGTTTGAGTTTGACATCCAATGATCGAGGGAAAATCAAAGCGCCTTTGAGAAGCTGAGCTGGATATTGGCGCTATACAAATTTTAGCATAATGATAATAATTAAAAAAAGGTTTGTAAGGGTGTTCATCGATGGCAAACCTTGAAGCGACACTCTCAAAGATAAAGGGTGGTGGGATAGCCTAGAGAATATAGCGTTTGTCACGCCGAAGACCCGGGGTTCGATTCCTTACATGGGTACAATGTGTGAAGCCCATTTCTGGTGTACCCCTATTGCTAAGAGCGGTGTAAAACTAAACTCACTCACTCTAAGATAAGTTGAGGGAGGACCCACCCACAGAGACGGGTTCGACAGGGATTCGAACCTATGATATTTCACAGCGAATTGCGACGCCTTGATCCTGCAGCTTAATTAACTGATGAAATAAAAACTAAGTGAATGAATTCCTGGTATACGTAGTCAGGTAAAAAAAAACGTGTAAGTATCGGTTTAGTTTATCACCAATGTTTTACCGGCTAAAGGTTTTGATCATAATTTTGTGAAATGTAACTTATTAACTATGTGTACTGCTATTAAATGCAAAGACATGCTTGGCAATTACCATTTTATTATTGTTATTGGATTACGTTTTAATGCTATGCATGTCAATATAAAAAATGACATATTTTTTGTTCGGCCCATATGACTAAGAATAAGGCCCTTTTGACATATTTCACGGTCCATTTGACTTTCACCACGGCCCATTTGACTTTTTTCATCGGCCCATTTGACTTGGCACTTCTCGGCCCTTTTGTCCTTCGGCCCATTTGACTAGATCCCCCTGCAATGAACATCGACAACGATTTCTCTTTGTCTTGGCCATTCCCTTAAAATGTCAAAATCAATAACACAATACTTAATTGATTTTCTTTTCTATCATATACATTAACGCATTACTAATTTTATTATGACGAATCATAGGGGAACATGTGATCATTCAGATTGTGCTTTTCAAAAGATAGATGGATATTGTGTAATTTAGATCGAAAGTAAATGTTTTTGTGTTATAGATTATTTTGAACTAACACAAAGTAAAAGCAGTGTATGAAATAGTGTCTGCCCGGCGGCCCGCTGCTTGCTAGTTACATGGCGGGCTTACAACTATATTTCATAGCTAGCCCAGTGGGCCAATACATTTTCCAAGGGTATGTAATTGACCATGTCATTGACTACGGGAAATATTTCGAAAATAATTTACAATTGTGGTAGCTAGACGACATGCATCTGTTTAGTTCATAATCAATCAAACCATAACTTCCACAGATCAGCCTACCCATTTATCTAACACAAAATGTCTAGAGAATGCTTTCAGCCAATGAACAATGGGTTTTTTTCTAATAGCATGTAACAATCACATATCTTCGAATATTTCCGCGAGCAACATTGTCCGCCGTTAAATTTGCTTTTGCACATGTTAATGTTTACCTCACTATTTTAACACCTTACCTCAGTTTCCTATTTTAATACAGGGACTGTTACATGTTAACAGTGCCAGCAACATTTTTCAGTTGTCAGCCCTGTGGGCTTCCTGTTTTTATAGGGGTTTCATACACTGGCAAAAGATAATATGATACATGTCAGCGTTAGAATAAGTTAGTACTCAAATTCAACATTGAAAATACCATATATTGACGAGGCACTCGTCTCTATCAGACCAAAATCTGTCTCTCATCAGATAAAGTTATTATGGCTAATTGCTATCAAACTTTAAAATGATAACATGAAGAATGTAGGTGTGTTATCAAAACATAAATGGGTACAATATCTTCAATAAAACATACTTTACAGTCGTATAAAGAATGACATGTTCTTCCTTCCCAGTGACTTTGTTCTAATTAATGTCGAAGACAACATATTTTGCATGTAAACCACGTGTGCCACGCATTCTCATAGTGTGTGCAGTCTGTGTACGTACTTTCGTCAGGGTAATCACGTAGCCTGTTGGCGTGATCTTGTGTTTCACTGGACGAAATCAGCTTACTTTGTTTAAACAGACAGTTAAACGTACAAATTCAGCAAGCTTCACGTACATATCTCGGAACTGTGGGATCAGATTGTGCACATGTGTGGGAATTCCCCTTTTGCCGACCTTCACCTCATAAGTCCTTGACCCAACGACCTCTATCGAAACATGGCGCTGCGAAGGAGGGGTAGTTTCTTTCGGACCCTGAAAAATGTTGAACCTGAATACGACAATGTCACAATGGACAGGGGGATATCTGCTGCTGCACAGAACAAATGGGTATTTGAAATTGCATGGGAAGTGGCGAACAAAGGTAAAAGATAGCGCACTTTTAGAACACATACGAAACATGGTGCCCGCATCATGCCTGAGTTGCTATTATCTGGCCTGTCAGTTTAACTCTGTGCTGTGACCATGTCACTGTGTCAACGTAAGTGACCCTTATTCAAGTTCTGAAAAACCAGTCCATGTCACGAACCTCTATTTCAAAGTCGGGCATAAATCGTCTTGTTAAACATGTGTAAAGATTTATCATCTGAGGAATGGTTCAACAATCATAGGTTATGAATATTAGGAAGGAACTTTAAATTGACAAAATTAACATTGCCTCAATTTCCCCATTTTAATGAACTGACGGGTGGAAATTTTAATAAACCAAATTAGTTTTCAGTCTAAAATCAAATATGATTGAGATTTTTTCTATGAGCATATTATGAATTGAATTTGTCATTGTGGCCATATATTTGCTTCCTTGTAAATCGTAAATTCTGAGGAGTAATATGTCACTCTACTCCACAAAAGATATCACAAAATGAGTATTTTTCAGTCTAAAATCAAATATGATTGAAATTTCTTCTTTGGGCATATTATGAATTGAATTTGTCATGTAGCCATATATTTGCTTCCTTATAAATAAGAATCTCTGAGGATTAATATGTCCCTCTACTCTACAAAAGATATGTCAAAATGATTATTGTTCAAATTGATTATTGTGCTGTTCATGCTAGAATTAAAATTGTACAAATGATATTTGTTGTTTTGCCTGATCATCATCAGCATGGCCAGTGAAATTTGGATACGCTTCTCTGGTTGAGAGAGACACACCGCTGCCTAAATGCACCAATTGTCAGCAATGTAACAAAACACCTTATATAGAATGAGAAAATTTGTCGTGTTCATTTTTTTTATATTAAAAAACAAATATACACTCTAAATTTGGTTCATTGTTTCAGATCTATCAAGTTACGTAATGTATCAGAATGTCATTCATACCTCACCAGTCACATACAAAATGGGTCCGTGTAGTTTAAGAGTCCCTGGCTAGTTAAATAGTAGGGCTGTGTACTGGCAAAACATTTGTATTGCAATGTTTTGCGATTCTGGTAGCTGTATTCCGATACGTATTGCGATATATTTCGAGCTTCAGTGTTTGACAGTGAGTGATACAGATTGTACATGCAGAGCCTGTTTTCTACACACTAAAGCCATAAACATAAACCTAATGGTTGTGATAACAGAAATTTTGAATTTAGATTTGATTTTGAATGATTGTATTTTCTTTTTTATAAAATGTATTGTATGTAACATATGCTGTTTTGTTAATTAATCACAATGAAAAAAATTCAGTGTGAATGAAAGTCTGTGTGGATTTTAGCTTCAACCATAGCTATAATCACAGAACTTCTTATGTACTTTATTACCCAATATACCGGTTCTGAAAAAAAACATTGCAAAATGTATCGTTATACCGGTATACAGGTAATATATGTCCTATAAAATAGTTTACCCAACCCCAAGTACTCTGGTAACTGTTACACCCCTAATGTTAACAATACATTTCTTGTTGGTGCCACTTTGACGTCTGTGACCTGTGAAAATTGTTTACCCAACCCCAAGTACTCTAGTAACCTGTCACAGACCCAATCTTAACCATCCATTTCATGTTGGTGCCACTTTGACGTTTTCTGTGTCCCCTGGCCAGTTAAGATTATTTACCCAAACCCAAGTACTCTGGTAACCCATCACAGACAATCTTGACAATACATGTCATGTTGGTGCCACTTTGATGTTTTCTGTGTCACATGGCTAGTTAAAATAGTTTACCCAAACCCAAGAACAGTGGAAGCTCTCAAAACTGGCAGCCCTCCAATCTGGCATGCTTTCAATATCGGCACTAGAATTTGGTCCCGGCAGAAGATATGATCATTTACACGCCCTCTAATCCGGCGTCAGTCTATTCCGTATTTCGGCACAACAAAGACCACCCATCAGCTTATTGATGTTGCCTGATAAAAGGAGTATGGATAAGGATTAGGCCTAAGTAGGTGAGGTAAATTGGTGAGTGACACGTGTCACTTGTATACTTGCTTGATATGATGAAAGACACATCAGATACTTTGCTTTGACAAGCGAAATAAGGTTATTACTCGCAACACGTTCAGTTGTATTTTACAGTATAGGGAAGATCATTCTCAGGTTGAAAAGGGAACAGTTCCGTAAACCGGCACGTCTTCTGTACCGACATTGTTTGCCGGTCCCAACGTATGCCGATTTAGAGGGCTTCCACTGTACTCCAGTAGCCCTAATCTTAACCATGTATTTCATGGCACATTAGGCGCCACGTTGACGTTGTCTGTGGCTATGGCTTGAAACAGAACTGAATGTGTTCCTACAATTACTGTACCAGTTATCACTACCCAATCATTCTGACGTAGACGTTGTCTGTGGCTAGTAAATCAAACTGGTAATTAGAATATGATGTCACGATTAGAATGTGATGTCATGGTAAGAATGTGATGTCATGATTAGAAAATGATGTCTTGGTTAGAATGTGATGTCATGATCAGAATATGATGTCATAGTTAGAATATGATGTCATGGTTAGAAAATGATGTCATGGTTAGAATGTGATGTCATGATTAGAATGTGATGCCATGATTAGAATATGATGTCATGATTAGAATATGATGTCATGATTAGAATGTGATGTCATAATTAGAATATCATGTCATTATTAGAATCTCGTGTCATTAGAACATGATATCATGGTTAGAATGTGATGTCTTGATTAGAATATGACGTCATGTGTGTCTGTGTTTGTAAAGTCAATCCTGTCGGTATTTTAGTTTACTGTACATGCTGTACGTGTGTAGTATGCACATGTATTTTTCATTCACATAAACACTAATGAAGATATAGAGTTTTTACATGTATTTAATTTTTTTAGAATGGGAAATCAGGCTTCCAAATTAAGATTTCATGCATCTCCTAACAGTGTGATATTGTGCTAGTCAGCACAAGTGTATTTTCCTTACTTTATCCCTCAACACAGTTCTTTTCAGATTGTCCAGCATTGAGTGTTACGAGTAGAATGGGGATATATTATTTCATAAAATACATGGGGTATGTAAGAGAGTCTGTCACTCAGCCTACACCTGATATAGGTTTGGCCTGGTTGAACTAGATTTATATTCTCCTCCCCTACCTCCCTTGAGGGTGACCTACATATTGTCACAGGTGCAAAGGCACAGAACAATATGTTAACTGTGCTATGCATGGATTTACCAACCTCACATTGAGCCCTTATATATGTTTTAAATGTTCCCAAAAAGGACAGACCTTTCCTATTTGGATTTACAGAATGCATATGAATAGATCACCCATTTCATAACAATACACATTTATTTACAGTGTTTAAGAACATAATGTGCACGCCGGACTATTTTTCACAGCGGCTGGTCATTTAAACATGACGTCAGAAGCCTAGTGCTACTGTACCCAGCACCGTCTACTCTGTTCCAAGATGGATAATCTGCTCCTGACTGACCTGTGTATTATAATCATGAAGTTTGTGTTATAGATGAGAGTATTGCTCATATGTTATGTTTGGGATTACACTTTCTCAGTAAAGTACAGATTCTAGTACTTTTTGGGGATTGAGTCCCATCTGGGATTCGAACCCACACCCTCAGAGTCAGGCACCTAATCGCGCCTAATCGCGCCTAGGTGCCTAGACCGCGGCTTCCACAAAAAATCACGGGAGAAAAACAATAACAAGAGCAACAACCAGTCCATGGAAATTGCTCTGGATCAGTGGCCCTTTAAGGTGACAAGCCTATGGTATATAGAGGATATTCACTGTTTATTTCTCTAATAAGCCTAGACATCTAAGTAATATAAATACAGCTCCAACTGTCATTTTTCAAGTCACTAAATCAGATTCTGAATGGGTCTATAGTTAGGCCAACTAATTTATCAGTAATAAATCAATGGAAAAAAAATACTGTATAAAATTTGAAGTTTTTCAAAATGTTTATTTCTGTGAAGAATTCAGACTGATAGCATTCGCCTGAGATACAACATATGTGGGGTTCCTGGTTGTTACAGCGGGCGGGGTTGGGGAGGGTGGGTTGTGTGTAGCCTAGTGGTTAAAGTGTTCGCTCGTCCCGCCGAAAGCCTGGGTTCGAATTCCCACATGTGTGAAGCCCATTTCTGGTCTCCCCGGCTGTGATATTGCTGGAATATTGCTAAAAGCGACGTAAAACCAAACTCAACTCAGTCAGTCAGTCCTGTTTGTTACTGAACGGATCAGGAGGTGAGACTTGGTGAGTTGGTGAGTGGCGTAGCAGTGTGCAGAGATGATGATTGGATTATTGGTCCACGTTCAGTTATTTACTGGTACACCATGACACAACTCTCGGCAATATCCAGCTACTTGTTTTTGTTTATTTGTTTGTTGTTTAACACCAGCTATGTGGCGGCGGGCTGTAAATAATCGAGTCTGGACCCAGATAATCTAGTGATCAACATCATGAGCATCGATCTACACAGTTGGAGTATAATGACGTGTCAACCAAGCCAGCGAGTCTGACCACCTGATCCCGTTAGCCACCTCTCACAACAAGCATGGGTTGATGAAGACCAATTCTAAAACGTGTCGTCATGGGTCAAATTGGTTTTAATGCTGCTTTGAACAGTATTCTGACCTGGATCTTCACAGGTCAGCTACTTGTATTTGCGGTGGACCAGACAATCCGAGGGTTGACATTATGACCATAGATTCGTGCAAATACTTTGGAATAACACCCAGTCAAGTGAGCCTGGCCACCTGATGATCTTGCAAAAATGAAGCCCATTTCTGGTGTCCCGCTGTAATATAGCTAAGAGCGGCGTAACACTAACCTCATTCACTCACTCACTCTTGCAAAAAACATAAGTTGCTGGGCTAGATTATTGAAGCTCTCTTAACGCTAAGATACTCCTAAGTTAATGTAAATGTATGGCTCTTAGTCTTACAACTGTCTTAGCTCTAAGAGAGCTTTGAAAATCTAGGTCCTGGATGACAGTACCGGTATTCTTTCCAGGTATCCTCAATGTTCTTAATTTAAATGCTTGAATTCAGACATGTTGCCATGGTTACCTCGTTGTTTCAGTGGGTGGAATCTACACTGTGATCAAAACTAAGGCTCCCACGACAGTTGAAGAACTGGGAGAACAGTACTGCTTGATGGGGCCATACAACCAATCCTGTGTCCGAACCGAAGTTGAGATTCTGGAGCCACACAATTCTGTGTTTAAAGAGAGCATACAAGCAATGCGTGATGCAGGTATCAAGGTGAGAATTGCTGTGTTTGCAAGGACCTTCCATATGACAATACCCTCTCAAGAGCTCACCATGTCAGGGAGCGGTTGGGTAGCCTGGTGGTTAAAGTGTTCACTCGTCACGCCGAAGGCCTGGGCTTGATTCATGGGTACGATGTGGGAAGCCCATTTCTGGTGTCCCCTGCCATGATATTGCTGGAATATTGCTAAAAGCGGCATAAAACCAAACACGCACGCACGCACGCTAAAAGTGGCGTAAAACCATGCTCACTCACTCACTGATTCACTTTCTCTTCCTCACTCATTCACTCACTCACTCACTGGTCTCAACTTTCAGGAACTAGGGACAGTGGTACCTTTGATGACGAAGTAAACCAGTTCTTGGTAGTGGAAACAGCTGATGGTATAAATGTGTGTTGTCTTGCAGGTTTACTTCGGTCGGTGGCTGATAGATGGATACCCTAAAGTGATCCTGTTTGACATAGGCTCGGCGGCTTGGAAGCTGGATGAGTTTAAACACGAGTTGTGGGAGAAGTCGAACATCGGCATACCGTGGCATGATCGTGAGGCAAACGATGCTGTGATATTCGGTGCTTTAGTATCGTGGTTCCTGGATGAGGTATGATGCCGAGATCCACTTTCGTCTATTCACCTAATGTTATTACGTGTTTAACTGATTAATCATTGCTGGTTGTAAGAGGCTTGTTGTCACACCGGGTGACTTAATTGATGGCGTGTTATGGGTTCGCACACATTTAAAAAGTGCTTGAAGTTTACCATGTCCAATAAAAATGATTCTGCTGTTTTAACATCAAAGTGCTTGAGAAGCACACTTGTCACGCCAGAGACTCATGTTTAATTCCCCACATGGGTACAATGTGTGAAGTACATTTCTGGTGTCCTCTGCTCTGAATTCCACTAAACCATACTCACGCAGTCACCTTTAGCAAGACCGCCTCCGTGGTGTAGTGGTTAGAGCGTCCGCCCGGAGAGCAGAAGGTCGCGGGTTCGATCCCCGACCGCGTCATACCACAAGACATTAAAATATGGCACTTGTTGGTCCCTGCCTGGCTCTCGGCATTAATGGGTACAAGACGTTAAAATATGGCACTTGTCTGTCCCTGCCTGGCGCTCGGCATTAATGGGTACAACAAGGACTGGTCGGCTCGGAGTCAGTATAATGTGTCTGAGTGGGGTATTCATGCTTCGCTGCGGCATGTTATCTCAGTGGGTTAGCACTATAAAACCAACTTAAGTCTGGCCTAGTACAAGCAGCCGCACATACACATACACATGCAGGCACGTCGTCATATGAGCGAAATATTCTCAAGCACGACGTTAAACCCAATTTCACCTCACCTCACCTCACCTCACCTCACCTCACCTTTAGCAAGACTTTTTCTGACTGGTGTTCAACAGCATTCATTCACTGACAAACTGTCATGATAAGAGCTACCCATTAAGATCTGGGTTAGAATTGATCTTCCAGTAACCCAGGCTTGTCGTAAGAGCTGACTTACGGGATTGGGTGGTCAGGCATGCTGACTTGGTTGAAACATGTCATTGGTTCCCAATTGCATAGATCGATGCTGATGCTGTTGATCACTGGATTGTGTGGTCCAGACTGGATTATTTCCAGACAGCCTCCATATAGCTGGAATATTGCTGAGTGTGGCGTAAAAGTAAACTCACTCACTCACTCAGTCACGATAAGAGCCGATATATGATCTGTAATACATGTAATACACAAATCATTGGAAAAAATGATGAATAATCAATGATTGGTAATCAATGGTTGATCTTACGGTGGCCTTGTGGTTGAAGTGTCTGCCCGTCATTCCATGTTTAATTAATATCAGTACGTCTCCATATAATCTCTACCCGTGAAGATCCCGGTTAGAATTGATCTTCAGTAACCCATGCTTGTTGTAAAAAAGTGACTAACAGCATCGGGTGGTCAGGCTCACTAATTTGGTTAACACATGTCATCGTATCCCAATTGCGTAGATCGATGCTCATGCTATTTATTACTGGATTGTGTGGTCAGGACTCGATTATTTACAGACCCCCGCTATATAGCTGGAATATTGCTGAGTGTGGCGTAAAACTAAACTCACTCAGTCACTCACTCATGATGAGCAGATACATGTAATACACAAATCATTGGAAATAACGATGATCAATAATCAGTGATCGGTAATCAATGGTTGATAAGTGGGATATTAGGACTGTAACAAATGATCAATGATAACATCGGTGGCCTTGTGGTTAAAGTGTCTGCCTGTCATACCATGTTAAATATTTAGTGTCTCACTGACATGCCTTCGAAAATTGCTGAGTACTGCATAAAACTAAACTCGCTCACTCGCTCACTCTTCCAGTTCCGTAACCGTCTCCTTGGCGAGCCCCTGGTGATCTGTCACTTCCACGAGTGGTTGGCCGGAGTGGGTCTCCTCTACGCCCGCACCAGGAAACTGGACATCAGCACCATCTTCACAACTCACGCCACACTCCTGGGTCGATATCTGTGTGCTGGAAAACTGGACTTCTACAATAACCTTGATAGTGTGAGACATTACCACTGCATTAACATATGGTCGAGATACATTTTAACGCTCAGATTACATATCGTGTGTATGTAGTTTGTTTATTATGTTTATTATTACTACTTTTGTTTTTGGCCAACAAAAGAGGGGTAACTCTTGGTGTACCACTGAATTATCTCCCTTTGGTCATTTGCTGCTGAAAATCATTGGAAAAGCAAGTAAACAAACTTTATGTGACAGATAACAAGATTTCATTTTGATTTCGTTTCAAGTGTACTCTTGAAATTTTAATGTCATGTTGTCATGGAAACCCACCTAGGCAACGACAAGGCATGACAAAATGTTCCATCTGTATTGCTTGTACAATGGATCAGTACTGAAGCATTGTGAACACAAAATATTGCTCTATTGGTGATATTCAAACTTAGTATTGTTCCTCAGGAACAAGGCTTATTGTACAAGTGTGAAGCCCATTCCTGGTGTCCTCCACCATGATATTGCTGGAATATTGCTAAAAGTGGCGTAAAACTAAACTCACTCACTCATTCATCGTACAAAGTGACCAAATGATGCTCAGTCAGGCTCAATGATGTGATTGATCGTGTCTCATCAAACCATGGTGGCATGAGTTAATGCTCACAACATCAATCACTAGATTGTCTAGTTAAGGCTTGATTATTTAATGTCTATTGTCAAATGGTTAGATTGTTTACCTAGGGTGCTTTCAACAAACATAATGTCACACAGTTGCTGAGGTTTCATGGTAACATAACAGTCAAACATCATTGTGACGGAGACCTGTGAAGATCCGGGTTAGAATTGGTCTTCAGTAACCATGCTTGTCGTAAAAGAAGACTAACCGGATTGGGTGGTCAGACCCGCTGACTTGGTTGACACATGTCATAGTATCCCAATTGCGCAGATCGATGTTTATGCTGTTGATCACTGGATTGTCTGGTCCAGACTCGATTATTTACACACTGCCTACACACTAAACTCACTCACTCACTCCCCAGATAGCATTCCGACGTTGGTCAACGTTGGCAATGGTTTTGCCAACATTGCCAACTTTGGGCCAACGTCCGAATGCTATCTGGGTCATTGTGACGTATAGTTCAATTCATCTGAGATTGATATTGAACAAACTTTATGGATACAAACTTCTTTCATTTTGTGAGTACGATGTTTCGATACAGATTCTTGTACCGTTGACGACAACGTCTGTAGCATCTGTATCGAAACGTCGCACTTCTGAAATGAAAGAAGTTTTCATCCATAAAGTTTGTTCAATATTGTACTTCCCAACCTCTAAAATGCCACTCAAAAAAAGTCATCTGTGATTGGACATCAATGCGAAATGATCGCTAAAGAAGCAGTTTAAGGTCCCAAGCCTTTACTTTGAGACAACCGAAAGCTTAACACACAAAGTTCGACACAAAGGTGTTTGAGGGGAACAAATATTTTATGTGAACTAGATGATGGTTTGGACAGATGTCTTCAAGTCATTGCTCTTGTTCCACAGTTCAACCTCGACAAGGAAGCAGGAGACCGACAGATCTATCACCGGTACTGTATGGAGCGGGCGGCCGTCCACTGCGCTCACGTCTTCACAACTGTGTCCGACATAACTGGCGTAGAGGCAGAACATCTACTTACACGCAAACCAGGTGAAAATAGTCTTATATCTATGTTAGTCATGTGATACAGTTCAGAATAGGTCTAGCTTTCTTTAACAGTTTACCTTTTGGGATTGGGTGTCTGGATAGGTTTGATCTTTTTCTTTTTGTCATACCTGACAAAGGATCACTGCTAATGCTCTTGACCACCAATTCTTCTTGATCACTTAAAACTGAATTCCTTCTCTAGATTTTTACATATGGGCCATCTTTGGCTTACTCTACCATTTCTACAGAAAAAAAGGTTACATCACAAGGTATTCACACCAATCAGATAGAATAATGCATCCACGTTTGTGTACAGTTTCCATTATTCCTTCTACAGATATCTGTTAGTGCTCTGCTGTATCCAGATCATAATTGGGGTGGTGGGTAGCCAAGTGGTTAAAGCATTCACTCGCCACATCAAAGACCTGGGTTCGATTCCCAACATGGGTACAATGTGTACAGCCCATTTTTGGTGTCCCTTGTCGTGATATAGCTGGAATATTGCTAAAAGTGGCGTAAAGCTAAACTCACTCACTTCAAATAACGAAAATATAGTGAAAGGAAAGAGCCTGACCACCCGATCATGTTAGTTGCCAGACTGGTGTTAGAGGGGATCTTGTCTGGAATTGTTATTTGTACAATACTTGTTTATCAGAGTGAGTGCTTTTGAACAGTAGTTTTCAGTTAAATCACTGCATGTTGGCTCCATGCTGGAAGGGGGCAGTGGGGTAGCCTAGTGGTTAAAGTGTTTGCTCGTCACTCCAAAGGCCCGGGTTCGATTCCCCACATGGATACAATGTGTACAGCCCATTTTTGATGTCCCTTGCCGTAATATAGCTGGAATATTGCTAAAAGCGGCATAAAGCTAAACTCACTCACTTCAAATAACGAAAATATAGTAAAAGGAAAGAAACTAAACTCACTCACTCACCAGATCATATTTGTTGTGACTGTCCCCAGCTCAATCTCTGTAGTGTCCCCCAGCCATGATATTGCTGGGAGAGGTGGGAGTAGCCTAGTGGTTAAAGCACATGCTCATCATGCCACAGGCTCAGGTTCGATTCCCCACAAGGGTACAATGTGTGAAGCCCATTGTTGGTGTCCGCCGCCATGATATTTGGAATATTGCTAAAAGCAGCATAAAACCAATCTCACTCAAACTCGGATACAAACTGTTGTTGAAAACTACTTACAATTTGACAGCACTGTCATGTATATAATGTGTCAATATATTTCCAGATGTGATCACACCCAATGGGTTGAACGTGATCAAGTTCAGCGCCATCCACGAGTTTCAGAACCTGCATGCTGTATACAAGGAGAAACTACACGAGTTTGTTCGTGGTCACTTTTATGGGTCAGTTGCCATTTTCATTTCATATAGAAAACAGCAATTGATGTGTTGAACTTGGAAGTAGTTTTTGCCAGGTGAACTCAAATATTTATTTATCGGACCATGATATCATTGTTATTGGATCATGATGCCATTGTTATCGGATCATGATTTTGTTATAGAATCATGACGTCATTGTCATCTTATTGTGATACAATTGTTATTGGATCGTGATGCCATTGTTATTGGATCGTGATACCATTGTTATTGGATCGTGATACCATTGTTATTGGATCGTGATACCATTGTCATCTTATTGTGATACTATTGTTATTGGATCGTGATGCCACTGTTATTGGATCGTGATACCATTGTTATTGGATCGTGATGCCATTGTTATTGGATCGTGATACCATTGTTATTGGATCGTGATACCATTGTTATTGGATCGTGATGCCATTGTTATTGGATCATCATACCATTGTTATTGGATCATCATACCATTGTTATTGGATCATCATACCATTGTTATTGGATCGGGATGCCATTGTTATTGGATCATCATACCATTGTTATTGGATCATGATACCATTGTTATTGGATCGTGATGCCATTATTATTGGATCATCATACCATTGTTATTGGATCATCATACCATTGTTTTTGGATCATCATACCATTGTTATTGGATCGGGATGCCATTGTTATTGGATCATCATACCATTGTTATTGGATCTTGATGCCACTGTTATTGGATCGTGATGCCATTATTATCAGATCATGATGCTATTTTATCAGATCAGGATACCATTGCTATGATATTGATTTAATTGCATCGATTACACTATGCTACTATGCTGTAGCTAACAAATAAGTAGTCCCTGAAGAAAATTCCAGGCCCCTGCCGAAAATCAAATGATTGGTTCCCAAATCCCTGAATCCTGTGAGACAATCAGTGTAATGTTGTTGTGTTGTGTTGCAGACATTATGACTTCAACCTGGACAAGACATTGTATGTCTTCACTGCTGGCCGGTACGAGTTTTCAAACAAGGGCGTGGACATATTTATAGAGTCACTGGCTCGACTGAACCATTATTTGAAGGTATTGTAAAACATTTAATTTTCGAATATGTTTATGTCTTACAGCATATTCTGTCATACATTCATCTGTATAATGGTAGCTTTTGTCAACATTTACTCTGAAACCAAAAGATGATGCCATTTGTATTGTGCTATGTATTTATACAAGATGTTCCACATCCATGTTGTATATGACTTATCTTCCCCATGTCTTGTGTCATGCTTATCTTCCACCTATGTATTTTGGATGTCTTATCTTCCCCTGAGTATTGTATAAGACCTATCTTCCCCTATATATTGTGTAAGATTTATCTTCCCCTGTGTATTGTATAAGAGTTATCTTCCCCTATGTATTGTGTAAGATTTATCTTCCCCTGTGTATTGTATAAGACTTATCTACCCCTGTGTATTGTATAAGACTTATCTTCCCCTGTGTATTGTATAAGACTTATCTTCCCCTGTGTATTGTATAAGACTTATCTTCCCCTGTGTATTGTATCAGACTTATCTTCCCCTATGTATTGTATCAGACTTATTTTCCCCTGTGTATTGTATGACTTACCTTCCCCTGTGTATTGTATAAGACTTATCTTCCCCTGTGTATTGTATAAGACTTATTTCCCCCTGTGTGTTGTATAAGACTTATTTTCCCCTGTGTATTGTATAAGACTTATCTTCCCCTGTGTATTGTATAAGACTTATCTTCCCCTATGTATTATATAAGACTTATCTTCCCCTGTGTGTTGTATAAGACTTATTTCCCCCTGTGTGTTGTATAAGACTTATCTTCCCCTATGTATTGTATAAGACTTATCTTCCCCTGTGTATTGTATAAGACTTATTTCCCCCTGTGTGTTGTATAAGACTTATTTCCCCCTGTGTGTTGTATGACTTACCTTCCCCTGTGTATTGTATAAGACTTATCTTCCCCTGTGTATTGTATAAGACTTATCTTCCCCTATGTATTGTATAAGACTTATTTCCCCTGTGTGTTGTATAAGACTTATTTTCCCCTGTGTATTGTATGACTTATCTTCCCCTGTGTATTGTATAAGACTTATCTTCCCCTGTGTATTGTATAAGACTTATCTTCCCCTGTGTATTGTATAAGACTTATTTTCCCCTGTGTATTGTATAAGACTTATCTTCCCCTGTGTATTGTATAAGACTTATCTTCCCCTGTGTATTGTATGACTTACCTTCCCCTGTGTATTGTATAAGACTTATCTTCCCCTATGTATTGTATAAGACTTATCTTCCCCTATGTATTGTATAAGACTTATTTCCCCCTGTGTGTTGTATAAGACTTATTTTCCCCTGTGTATTGTATGACTTACCTTCCCCTGTGTATTGTATAAGACTTATCTTCCCCTGTGTATTGTATAAGACTTATCTTCCCCTGTGTATTGTATAAGACTTATTTCCCCTGTGTGTTGTATAAGACTTATCTTCCCCTGTGTATTGTATAAGACTTATCTTCCCCTGTGTATTGTATAAGACTTATCTTCCCCTATGTATTGTATAAGACTTACCTTCCCCTGTGTATTGTATAAGACTTACCTTCCCCTGTGTATTGTATAAGACTTACCTTCCCCTGTGTGTTGTATAAGACTTATTTTCCCCTGTTTATTGTATGACTTACCTTCCCCTGTGTATTGTATAAGACTTATCTTCCCCTGTGTATTGTATAAGACTTATCTTCCCCTGTGTATTGTATAAGACTTATCTTCCCCTGTGTATTGTATAAGACTTATCTTCCCCTGTGTATTGTATAAGACTTATCTTCCCCTGTGTATTGTATAAGACTTATCTTCCCCTGTGTATTGTATAAGACTTATCTTCCCTGTGTGTATTGTATAAGACTTATTTCCTATTTTATAAGACTGTGTATTGTATAAGACTTATCTTCCCCTGTGTATTGTATAAGACTTATCTTCCCCTGTGTATTGTATAAGACTTATCTTCCCCTGTGTATTGTATAAGACTTATCTTCCCTATGTATTGTATAAGACTTATTTTCCCCTGTGTATTGTATAAGACTTATCTTCCCTGTGTATTGTATAAGACTTATCTTCCCCTGTGTATTGTATAAGACTTATCTTCCCCTGTGTATTGTATAAGACTTATTTCCCCTGTGTGTTGTATAAGACTTATTTTCCCCTGTGTATTGTATAAGACTTATTTTCCCCTGTGTATTGTATAAGACTTATCTTCCCCTGTGTGTTGTATAAGACTTATCTTCCCCTGTGTATTGTATAAGACTTATCTTCCCCTGTGTATTGTATAAGACTTATTTCCCCTGTGTGTTGTATAAGACTTATCTTCCCCTGTGTATTGTATAAGACTTATCTTCCCCTGTGTATTGTATAAGACTTATTTCCCCCTGTGTGTTGTATAAGACTTATCTTCCCCTGTGTATTGTATAAGACTTATCTTCCCCTGTGTATTGTATAAGACTTATCTTCCCCTGTGTATTGTATAAGACTTATCTTCCCCTGTGTATTGTATAAGACTTATCTTCCCCTGTGTATTGTATAAGACTTATCTTCCCCTGTGTATTGTATAAGACTTATCTTCCCCCTGTGTATTGTATAAGACTTATCTTCCTTTATCCCCCTGTGTTATATAACTTATCTTCCCTGTGTATTGTATAAGACTTATCTTCCCCTGTGTGTTGTATAAGACTTATCTTCCCCTGTGTATTGTATAAGACTTATCTTCCCCTGTGTATTGTATAAGACTTATCTTCCCCTGACTGTGTTTATTTCCCCTGTATAAGACTTATTGTTCCCTTCTGTGTATTGTATAAGACTTATCTTCCCCTGTGTATTGTATAAGACTTATCTTCCCCTGTGTATTGTATAAGACTTATTTCTTCTTCCCCTGTGTATTGTATATAAGACTTATCTTCCCTGTGTGTTGTATAAGACTTATTTTCCCCTGTGTATTGTGTGTTGTATAAGACTTATCTTCCCTGTGTATTGTATAAGACTTATCTTCCCTGTGTATTGTATAAGACTTATCTTGTGTTGTATAAGACTTATCTTCCCCTGTGTGTATTGTATAAGACTTATCTTCCCTGTGTGTTGTATAAGACTTATCTTCCCTATGTGTATTGTATAAGACTTATCTTATCCCCTGTGTATTGTATAAGACTTATCTTCCCCTGTGTATTGTATAAGACTTATTGTATAAGACTTCCCCTGTGTATTGTATAAGACTTACTTCCCTGTGTATTGTATTTATATTGTATGACCTGTGTATTGTATAAGACTTATCTTCCCTGTGTATTGTATAAGACTTATCTTCCCTGTGTGTATTGTATAAGACTTATCTTCCCCTGTGTATTGTATAAGACTTATCTTCCCCTGTGTATTGTATAAGACTTATCTTCCCTGTGTATTGTATAAGACTTATCTTCCCCTGTGTATTGTATAAGACTTATTCCCTGTGTATTGTATAAGACTTATTTTCCCTGTGTATTGTATAAGACTTATATCTTCCCCCCTGTGTGTTGTATAAGACTTATCTTCCCCTGTGTATTGTATGAAGACTTTCCCCTGTGTATTGTATAAGACTTCCCCTGTGTATTGTATAAGACTTATCTTCCCCTGTGTATTGTATAAGACTTATCTTCCCCTGTGTATTGTATAAGACTTATTTTCCCCTGTGTATTGTATAAGACTTATCTTCCCCTGTGTATTGTATAAGACTTATCTTCCCCTGTGTATTGTATAAGACTTATCTTCCCCTGTGTATTGTATAAGACTTATCTTCCCCTGTGTATTGTATAAGACTTATCTTCCCCTGTGTATTGTATAAGACTTATCTTCCCCTGTGTATTGTATAAGACTTATCTTCCCTGTGTATTGTATAAGACTTATCTTCCCCTGTGTATTGTATAAGACTTATCTTCCTGTGTATTGTATAAGACTTATCTTCCCCTGTGTGTTGTATAAGACTTATCTTCCCCTGTGTATTTTATAAGACTTATCTTCCCCTGTGTATTGTATAATACTTATTTCCCCCGTGTATTGTATAAGACTTATCTCCCTTGTGTATTGTATAAGACTTATCTTCCCTGTGTATTGTATAAGACTTATCTTCCCTGTGTATTGTATAAGACTTATTGTTAAGACCCTGTGTGTATTGTATAAGACTTATCTTCCTGTGTATTGTATAAGACTTATCTTCCCCTGTGTATTGTATAAGACTTATCTTCCCCTGTGTATTGTATAAGACTTATCTTCCCCTGTGTATTGTATAAGACTTATTTCCCCTGTGTATTGTATAAGACTTATTTTCCCTGTGTTTGTATAAGACTTATCTTCCCCTGTGTATTGTATAAGACTTATCTTCCCTGTGTGTTGTATAAGACTTATCTTCCCTGTGTATTGTATAAGACTTATTTCCCCTGTGTGTTGTATAAGACTTCTTTCCTTGTGTGTGTGTATTGTTATCTTCCCCTGTGTATTGTATGTAGACTTATTTCCTGTGTGTGTATAAGACTTATCTTCCCCTGTGTAAGTATGACTATCTTCCCCTGTGTGTGTATAAGACTTATCTTCCCTGTGTGTTGTATAAGACTTATCTTCCCTGTGTGTTGTATAAGACTTATCTTCCCTGTGTATTGTATAAGACTTATCTTCCTGTGTGTAAGACTTATCTTCCCCTGTGTATTGTATGGGACTTATCTTCCCTGTGTGTTGTATAAGACTTATCTTCCCTCTGTGTATTTGTATAAGACTTATGTTCCCCCTGTGTATAAGACTTATCTTCCCCTGTGTGTGTGTATAAGACTTATCTTCCCTGTGTGTTGTATAAGACTTATCTTCCCCTGTGTGTTGTAAGACTTCTTCCCTGTGTATTGTGTGTGACTTATTTCCCCTGTGTGTTGTATAAGACTTATCTTCCCTGTGTGTGTATTGTTATCTTCCCTGTGTGTGTCTTCCTTCCTGTGTGTTGTATAAGACTTATTTCCTGTGTATTGTATAAGACTTATCTTGTCTTCCTGTGTGTTGT